AAATACACATCCACGTGTCCCTCTTTGAAATGCGACAGCGCAACTAAGAGTTTTCATTCGTTAGGCGACCAACAAAATCAACTTGATAATTAAACCGAATAATAACCCTACTCATCATACAGCAGATTGGTCAACTAATCCTTGATTTGAGAATGTTTTAATTGCTTAAACAGAACTGTTTTGCTTACCTTGCAAATGTGTTAACAAACTACTTTCTCCCACTTGCAATTTGTGCTTTAATTAGCTAGTCTTATATTTACTAATTGATTGATATATAATAATAAAGGTTCTACTTGTGTGTTGGTGACACTGCTTTAAATAACTCAATTTTCTTTTCTTAAAAAAACGCGACGTAATTTTATATATTTAATATTTTCTCTGAAAAGATTACGTGAAATAGTGAAATATCCCGTCTTGTACGTTATTTTCTGTCATTTCATGCTATTTTGTGCTACTTTGTATTATATTTCTGCATCGACATTTAAACAATAAAATATAAAAAAAAACTAGTATTTTTTAGTGATTATAGCTATATTTTTAAATAACTAAAAAGTAAAACTTTTGATAATGATTTCAAATTTAAAAGATTGAAAATGCAAAGTCCTAAATTGAATAGTGCAGGTATTTGACATCTAAATTTAAGAATAGAAATTTCAGATGTAGTGGTTAGAATTAAATTTTAATTAAAATTTAAGAAAATAAACTACAATGTATATGCTTAAAATTAAATTATGACTTATCTCATTATATTTTCGTTGTTTGTTATTACTTTTTAGTATATTCGATTTGTTATTTAGATAGATGTTTATGATACTTACATCAAACGTTAGTAAGAAATAATTTTTAGATGTTATTTTGAGTTCATTCAAATATTATGATATAAATCAACCATCAAGTTTTATTATATTCTAGCTTATGCAACACGTAATTTCTCATGCTATGCGCGTTTTAAAATACTGATTGGCGATGATGAGTAAATTGAGGAAAAAAAAAGAAGTTAGCAACGTGTGTGTCGGTGAATGACGAGTAATTTCGCTAAGTTAATATCGCATGTTTTCTCTAAATTATAAACCTTTTTTTTTTTTTGGTATAATAAACAATCTTTAATTTGAATGTTACAAAGTGATAACAACAATGAGAGCTCCTTACTTATTGATTTTGGTAACGCTTCAATTCCTGCAAACTTGGTGACAAGTCGATCTCTCAAGCAAAAAGATAGATAAAGAATCTCAACTAAATAATTATATTATTAGAATTTTAAGCGTGGAGGATTCAAATTCATGTTAATGAAGAAAATCGGTCTCTTTGCGTCACCCAACGCATTGATAACGTAACGTGTACAGTCCAACCAACGCCCATGCCACGTATGCATTCCATTCCAAACACGTGTTAATCTATTATTATATAAAGAGGGAACCTAAATAATTCTAGGCAAAAAATAAGATGAAATCCCGCCTAAAATTTTATATAAGAGGGAACCTAATTTTTTTTGAAAATTTTCAAGATATGACATGTTATTGGATCATTTGAATTTTTCAAATGTTGTTTGAAATTTTGAAT